TTATACGTATCTTTATTGAAACTCATGATTTGTTTAGTAATTACCATGGTTTAAATTTATACCGAATTTGAGTATGCATGGCGTTTGACTCGTGGCACTCTCCTATAATTAATGTATGTAGGGCTCACGCCTATAGTCACTGAATCATTCACTCATTTTCCACAATGTAATAAATATTTCTGGAACCATCCCCCAACATGGAGCAAGGATATTGAGACTATGTCTTCCTATTTATGAGTTCTTTCCTATTTCATCCTGTGGCTTTCTGTTCTTTTCTACCTGATTTCAAAACTTACTGTAGAGCTATAGTCATCAACACAGTGCCACCAACGTTATGCCACAGCATAAGGAATAATAGGCATAAAGATCAATAGACCAGGATATAGAGTCCAGAAATAAACCCTCATATTTGCAGTCAGTTGATTGCTGAAAATATGCCCAGGCAATTTGGTGGGGGAAAGGATAGGAATTTCAACAAATGGTGCTGAAACAACTGAATATCCATAAACACAGACAAACTGAAACTTAGATATTTACTTTCCACCATATCCCAAAACAAGTAAACTACATTGTAGTGCTATATTAAGTGCAAAACCTATACCGCATCTAGAAAAAAAATTAGGATAAAATCTTTGTGACCTCTGATTAGGCCAAGATTTCTGAGATGTGACACCAAAACCACAATTCATGAAAGAAAAATATTAATAAATTGAGTTTAAACAAGATGCAAAAAATTTTGCCCTTTTTTCATGAAGCAAGTACAAGTCAAATTATAGATTCAGAAAATACTTGAAAATCACTTATATGATGAATAACTTATATCCAGAATATATAAAGAGCTCACAACTCAATAATAAGACATCAGTCCTCTGTAAAATGAGTGAAGTATTTGAACGAATATCTCACCAAAGAGGACACATGGATAACAGATGAGCATGTAGGGAAAAAACAGCTTAGCATCATTACTTACTAGGAAAATGGAAATTAAAAACATAATGAGATGGTACTTCATGCAAACTAGAATGGCTGAAATAGCAAAATCAGAAAGTATTTTTAAGGATGTGGAGAAACAAGAACTCTCCTATATTCTTGATGGAAATGTGAAATGGCATAACCACATTGTAAGGTGATTTTAGTTTCTTAAAAAAAAATTAAACATGTATGTGTCATATGACTTAGCCAGTCTCCTTACATATATCCAACATAATAGAAAAATGTCTATCACACAAAGATGTATAGGTGGATATTAATAGCAGCTCTCTGTAGGAGATAACCAAAATGTTCATTGAATGGTGAATGGGTAAATAATGTGGTACATTTATACCATGGAATTCTACTTCTCACCAGTACAAAAGAATGGATGCACCTTTGAAAGACTATGCCATGTGGGGGCTGGGGATTTAGCTCAGCGGCAAAGCGCCTGCCTGGCAAGCACAAGGTCATGAGTTCGGTTCCCGGTACCGGAGAAAAACCAAAAAAAAAGACTATGCCATGTGATAGAAGCCTAACACGTTCTGTATGAATCCATTTATATGAAATTTCTAGACAAAAGTACAGATAAGAAAGCCGATCTCCAACTATATGTTGTGAGCTATAAAAGATGTAAATAGACACATACTTTAAAGACAAAGACAATCTCATATAAAATTTATTTTAAAGAGAGCTGGAATGATCTGATTAATACCTGGTGAAATGGACTGAAGCAAGACTCTAGACAGGTTTTGAGAATGGACACTTTGTAATGATCAAGGGGGTATCTCATCAAGGAGGCACAGCAGTCTCAGATGTTTTTATACTTAACAGAGTTGTCGGTAGATAAATGGAATTGAAAGGAGTTGATTCCCAATTGAAGCTTGAGATTTCAGCACTTTACTCTCACCAATTTATGGAAAAAATAGAAAGTCAGTAAGCATATGGAAAATCTAGGTGACATTATTGTCTTGACACAATTGACGTTTCTAGATCTAGCTGCCCAATGACACCATACACATTCTGTTCAAATGCACACAATTCACTCAACGAGACAGATGATGTTCTAGACCAGTGGTGGTGAACCTATGGCATGCACGTTACTATTTTTCTTTTAAGACAAAAAATTTAGAGTTTTTTTTTAAACTAAAATCTCCAGCTTAATTGCAGTGTTGGCACTTTGTGATAAATAAGTGAGTTTGGGGTTGCAGTTTGACACTCAGTCTCTAAAAGGTTCGCCATCACTGTTCTAGACAGTAAAACAGACATCAAGCTTTAAAATAACTGAAATAATTAAACTTGTATTTAATAGCCACCAAAGGATTAAATTGAAATTCAGTAACTGAAAGGTAACTGGAAATTGCCAAGTCTTTGGGAATGAAGCAACGCAATATTAAATGTTACAAGTCAAGGAAGATATCTCAGGGGAAATTAGAAAATAATTTGAATTGAAAGAAAATGAAAATAGAATGTACCAGTACCTGTGAAATGCATTTAAATCAACACCTAAAGGGAATTTGATAACTTTAAATGGTTGTATTAGTAATATTTAAATTAATTGGCCCTGAAGAAATTAGAAAAGGACCAATTAAAGCAGTGTAGTATTTATGCAAGAATAACCATATGATCAATGCAACAGGGAACAGTAGTCTAAAGAGAGACCTATACATATTTAGTGTTCAGTCAACGAAGGGACCAAGATGACCCAGTGGAGAAAGAATCTTCTTTTTGATAGGTGGTACTATAACACTCAGTGTATAAAATGGAAACAAGAACTTTGATTCCTACCTTTTATTGTAAACTAATCTGAAGTGGATATTAGACCTGTACGTAAAAGCTAAAACTTTTAAAACTTCTAAAGGAAAATATCTATTAAATTTTTCATGACCTTGGGGTGAGAAAGATTTCTTAGTTCATCAAAGAAATAATCAATAAATTGGAACTCATCAGCTAAATACTTTGACTCTTTGAATGATTCTATGGAAAATGAAAAGGTAGGTGTGAACTTTGAGAAAATACAATATTAGCATCACATAAATCTGACATAGTACTTATTTTCAGGCTTTGTAAATTCTTAACAATTGAGTAACCAGACAACTCAATTAAAAGGCAAAATATTTGACTACACACTTCTCAAAAGAAAATGTACATAAACAAACATGCTCAATGTCATTATGCATTAGAGAAACGGAAGTTAAAATGAGATACTTCTATATACCCAACAGAGTGGTTGAAATTTAAAAGACAACTCCAGTGCTGACAAGGACATGGACCAAGTAGAACTATCACACATTGTTGATGGGAATGTACAAAGGTAGAACCAGTTTGGAATAGAGTCAGACAGTTTTTCATGATGCTAAACATAGTTGATTGTCTGACCAACAGTTTCACTTCCTGGAATTTACTCCATGAGAAGTGAAATCACATGCCTATTAAACGACTTATATGTGTATAGTTAAAGGTTCTTTATTCCTAATAGCCCTGAACTGGAAAGTACACAAATGCCCACCAACAGAAGATAACCAGTGTATGGGATATTATAATGGCATGCTTGTTGGCAGTGCAAGGGACTTAATACCTGTATATACAAGCCATGTGAATAAAGCTCACTTATGTCAAGTGAAAGCAGCCGGACGCAAAAGATAATATACTGTATATTTTTATTTATATAAATGTCTAGAACTGGAGCATATAATCTATGTTGATAGAAAGTAGGTCCGTGGTGGCCTGGATTCTGGAATATGGGGAGATTGACCACAAAGGGGCACATTTTGGGGTGACAGAGGTTTTTATATAAGATAGTTACCAGGGTGTATACGGCTGTCAAAAACTCATCTAACAGTACACTAAAACATACATTTAGTTACATATAAATTATACCTTAGTTTGTTTTTAAAAAACAATGCTAAATTGTTCTCTCCCATCACTATTGGGTAACAGGGATTCAATATTCTACTTATTCCATTTGAGTAAACACTTCTGGGGCTCCCTTATTGAAAAATCCATCCTTCCTCTATTTTATTGTCTTGTCACTTCTCATACATATCGAAGTTCAGTGTATCGCTCAGTTTCTTTGCTCTCCCTTCCATATCATTTTTGATTTGTTTATCCTGTCTTAATTATTTTATCTTCAGAGTAAGTCCCAGTATCTTTATTCTCTTTTCTTTTCCTTTCTTTCTTTCTCTTTTTTTAATTCTCTTTTCTTCAGGAATGTTTTGGCTGTTCTTGAGCCTGTGTTAGGTATAAACTGCAGAAAAAACTTATCTATTTCTACATTCTATGAAAAATGCTTCTGGAACATTGATGGGAATTGCATTGATTTTGTAGTTAGATTTAGATTAGATGTTGTATTTTTGTAATATGTTTTCCTGTTCATAACTGTGGTGTCTTTGTGTTTATTTAGATCTCCTTTAATGTCTCTCAATATGATTTGTCATTTTCCTATAAACTCCTTGCACATACTCTGAAAGATTTTAATTTCAAGAAGATTGATGCTTTAAAATTTTTATTTCAAGTGAAATCTTTCTAATTAGATTTTTATGGTTTATTGTTGGTATACAGCAATGTGATTTTACCAAATATTAGTTATATATCTAGAGAACTTTTGCTTTTGTTTTAGAGAGATGTTTCTTAATTGATGAGCAGAATTTGTATGGTACGTGTTTGAACATGCATGGGGCTGGTGTGTGTGTGTGTGTGTGTGTGTGTGTGTGTGTACAATCAGGTATTTGTGGGCATTTTACACAGTGGTGGTATTGAGGGAGAGTTTCAAGGTCCTCAAGTTCTGTTCTGTAGTTGAGTCTCTATATACAAGGTTGGCCCTGTGTCGCAGTAGAGGGTGGTGACTGGAGCCGGAAAGTTGCCAGCTATTGGTCTCCTCAGCTGTTTTATACAGTCCTGGTGACCATTGAAGGGGTCTTTTTTGCAAAGTTAATATCCTCAAGGGCAGATACCTGCCTGTTCTCTCTCTTGGAGGTGGTTACTCATGCTGGCAGCTATCTTGATAACAGTATGCCACTCCTGTTTTTCAGTATCCGAAGCGTGATGCAGAAATATCTTGCGGAGAGAAATGAAACAACCTTTGACAAGATTTTCAATCAGAAAATCGGTGAGTCCCGCTTCGTCATCTAGCATACTGTAATTGCCATAGTGAAATCAGGTGATGCGATAGTAGCTTATAAATGTAGCCCCTAATCCTGCTTGATACCCATTTTAGTTAAAGGTGGAAAGAAGGTCATTTCATGTAGCTAGTGGGGTGCTTTATGATTACTTATATTCCTAATGACATGGATAGTAAGCTATTGGAAATCAGACTACACTGACTCTGAATTTTAAGGTGGGGGTGGATGGGAGAGGGTTGCCCTAATCAAACATATCAGGTTTGCCCCTTGGTGAGTCCAAAGCTAAGTAAGCACACCCAGCAGGTAAGAGCGAAGAAAGGTTTATTACTTGCAGCAAGTAAGGAGATCACTGATGATGATTCCCAGAGCAGTGTTACTGAGGAAACTTATGTGGATTCACACTGGGAAAGACCCATTGTCATGGGGGGGGCACATTCCTGAGTGTATGCTCACTCGGCTGTCATGTTTCTTCACATATCACATGTTCAAAGATGGGGACAGGAGTATGCCCCAGGATTTAGCATTATAATGAGATTGTTCTCTTTTTTGCTGTACTGGGAATTGAACCCAGGACCTTTGCACTGAGCTGTATCTCTAGCCATTTTTTAATTTTTATTTTTGAGACAGGGTCTTGCTAAGTTGCTCAGTTGCTCCAGCTGTGCTTGAACTTGGAGCCTTCTGCTTCAGCTTCCCAGATTGTTGACCTCATGGGTGTGTGTCACCATGCCTGGCACAGTGAGATCATAATGAGCGAAATTTACTCACTTGGAAGAGTCCCTGGGAAGTCTTGTGGTTCCTTGTGGTTTTCTCTGGAAGGCCTTATCCTAAACCAAAAAATTTAACACTTGCAGGGCTGTCAGCAATGCTGTAGAGGGATGCTTTATTCTCCACAACCACAGGTGCTTAACAATCAGGTTCCTGGCCACCAGCTACCAAAAGGGTGTGGTACTGGCGACTAGGCAAGATGCTCTGTTTGGATCCATTACCAGCTACCCTCCTCAGGCCCTGTGTCCTCACCCAAGGGCCCTGGCTTCTCTCCTGTTGCTCTGCCCTCGTGGTCACAGGGTTGGCATGGGTCTCTGTGAGCATCATGCTTCTCTGAAGGTTGGCTTCTCCACAGTGCAGGGGATGGATCCCTTGATGCCATCAGTTTTCGTGGCAGGTGGTTTTGCCTTCTATTCCTCATGACAAGACCGTGTGCTTGACTCCTGTTCCTGTGGCTGCCTTCAGTACCTCTCTGCAGGTCACAAGGACTTCCCCATGTGCGCACATAGGTGGGGGACCATCTCTCACTGGCCAGTGTGGGTCTTGGCCCCTGCAGATGGTGTCTTGGTGTAGGGGGCTTTGTAGTTTCCTCGCCATTAGTGCTTAGAGAAATTAGAGTGGCCTAGAAATTGCTTTAGTGTTGAGTTTTAAAGCCTATGAAGAAATGAGGTGTTACATTTTCATCTGACTTCTAAAACCTATCAGTTTATTTACAAGTGATTTTTATCAGGGTTAGGTAAGACCTATAGTTTACATGCCGCCATTTTTCTTTTCATTCTCTAAAGATAGTTCCTACCGTCCAGAAATTTCCTCTTTTATTAATCTGTCTGGAGTAGTGAGATAAACTGATAATTGTAGGATTTTTGCATGAATTCAGCATTGGAAAATTGGATGTTCCTTTCTTTGCACCTTGCTTAACTTCCACAGTCACTTAGGTGGTTTGTTGGGAAGCTGTGAGTTGGTCTTACTTTTTCCAGCATATTCTTTCTGCAGGAAATTATTTAAATCCTAAGAGATTAAGGTTCCCTAGAACTCTACTAGTGTATATACATATCCATGGATTCCATATCCCTGTATTCTATCAACCATGGATTTAAAAAAAAATACATGTGTGTGCATGTGTGTATTAAAAGAATTTGGTCTGTAGTGGACAGATGTTCTTGTCATTATTCCCTAAACTATACAGTCTAACAACTATTCTTGTGGCATTTACACTTTATTAGGCACAGTAAGTCATCTAGAGATGATTTAAAGTATATGGGAAGATGTGCGTAGGTTCAACACAAGTACTACGCTGTTTTAGGTAAGGGGTTTGAGCATCTATGAATTTTGGTACCCACAAGGTGCCCTGGAACCACTTCCTCTGGGATAACGAGGGACAGCTGCCATTCTATTTCCATGACTAATACATAGGTCTTTTTGAGACAATATTCTTTGAGATCCTTCTAGGCTGCCTTTTCATTTACATTTGAGGGAAAGTAGATTGAGGGAAGGGACATGACTTGTTCTGATTCTTAGAATTTTAAAGAAGAGATTATGATGGATTTTTTAAAAAGTTCATATCCACTAGAAACCAGTTTGGAAAGTCTTTGGATTTTTGTAAATCTTTTTTTTTTTTTTTTAAGAATAGGACTAGTTTGCAGAAATTAATCCACAAAGGTGGTCTTCCACAGATGTAGCTGCTGTTTCTTCTCCTTCTCTTCTTCCCCCTCTTCCTTTTTGTTTTTGGTGATATTGGAGGTTGAAGCAAGGCCTTTGCACTGAGTTGAACCCCTCCCCTTTTTTAATTTTTTTATTTGGAAATAAACTTGCTTTTGTTTTAAAAAGAAGTTTCCTTAATTGATGAGTAGAATTTGTATGGTACATGTTTGAGCACACCTGGGGTTTTGTGTGTGTGTGTGTGTGTGTGTGTGTGTGTGTGTGTGTGTCTGAATTGCCCAGACAGGTCTTCAAGTTGGCGATCTTCTTGCCTCGGCCTCCCAAAGTGCTGGGCTTACAGGTGTGTGCCACCATATCCAGCTGAGATGTAGCTTCTGCAATAAGCCATGAAATACAGTGATAAAAAGGAGTCAAAGTGAAGCAGAGAAGCGGGTGAGGTATGACCTGTCTGTGCTCATGGAAAGCTACTGGCCCCTCGCCACAGAATACTGCATCCAGGTCATCAGAATGCCACTGGGATCAAATAAATCAAAAGGCTTTCTTCTCACTAGTTGTTGCTGGTGCTTATTATTTTCACGATGTTTAGCTCTCATTTCTCCTTTGCTTCTAGTGGACTAAAAACTATAAAATAACTTACCTTTGCTAGGGAAAGGAAAATTACATATTTGTTAGTTGAAAAATTCCAATTTATTTTTATAGCTTTATTGAGATGTATTTCACATCAAATAAAATCTGTCCACTGAAAGTGTACAGTTCTGTGGTTTTCAGTATACTCACACAATTGTGCAGCTCTCTCCAACTCTAATTTTAGAACATTTTCATGACTCTCAACAGAAGCCCTATACCCACTCCCTGTCCCCAGTTGTTCCTGTCCTTGCCTGCTTTCTGTCCCTGTGGTTTTGCCTGTGTTGGACACACACAGAGATGGCTTCATACAAAAGTAGCTTTCACATTTGGCATCTCTCAGCGTGGTACTCTCAGGGTCTGTCTGGGTGGTAGTGTGGGTTGGAACTGTATTCCTTTCTATAGCAGAGTAAGGTTCCATTGTGAACATACTGTATTTTGCTTACCCATTGTCAGTTGATGGGTATTTGGATTGTTTCTGCTTCTGGGCTATTTTGGAGAAGTGTTGCTAGGAAAGGAAAGAGCTTTTGCCATGACTGAGTGGAGATTTCCTGTGAAGACATAGCTGGCAGATGGTGATAAACCTGCTTCCCCTGCACTTGTTCTAGCTTTTGCAGTACACTGAGGATTTTCTCTTTCTCTCTTTCTGTACCCTGTCCCTTCTATAATCCTTTTGCTGTCTGCCACATCTCCAACACACATCCAGACCCCCATGTGTCTTTTTTATCATTTGGGTTAAAACCGGAGCAGACCCTCTCCCCAGGACTTTTGACCTGACCACCTAATGTGTGGACTCTGTCTTTGCTCAGCTATAGAATTATCCTCAAGATCAGCCTCACTGACATTGATAGGTTGTGCATTTTATCTCAATTAAGCTGTGAAATAATTTTAAATGTTTTAAATACATAATTCTTTCTCAGCTTCTCTCCAGTTTGTGAGTGCAGAGTTGGCTGGGAGAGGCTGAGTTTATACTCAGAAGGTCATGGTAGCAGGAGAGGGAGTGAGGGGACAAACAGACTGGACACAGCTGGCACTATGTCTGCGGGAGCTGTGGACCAAGTCTCCTGCCTGGCTGCCTGGCCCCTCCTACTGTTCCTCCCTTTCTGCCTGGGATTAGGCATGAAGGAAGAGTGGAAGGCAGGCTGTGATAGGTACATTTGTCTGACTTTGGAGGTCTTCTCTTCTCCTTGTTCTGCACCCTCCTGTCTGTCTTTCTAGGTTCTTCTGTCTGTCTCTTCCAGGACTTTCCACTTTTCCACTCAGCCTTGGCTCTTCCCTCTCTCCTATTACTCTTCTGTGGTTCTATCTCCTGCCTCCTTCCTTTCCTTGCAGCTCTTTTTCTCACCTGTCACCCACTAAGATCTCCCTTGCTCAGGATCATTGAGATATCTGGGGACTGCCCTCCATGCATGCTGTGTCCGATTTGTATAAATGTGTTATGACAGAGACATGGTGCATGCCTACAATCCTAGGGATCTGGGAGGCTAAGGTGGGAGAGTGGCAGGTTTGAGACCAACCTAAGCAATTTAACTACTTAATGAGACCTTGTGTCAGAATGAATGAATGAGTGAGTGAATGAATGAAATGAAATATAAAATATTTTTAAAAAGAAAGATGGAAGTCTTTCAGTTACTTGGCCTCTGAGACTTTGCTGAGAAAACCAGTGATTTGCAGACCTAATGGCTCCTCCCCCAGGGAGCTGTTGATTCATTAGTTTCCTTGTCTATAAAAGTGGAGTTAATGATGGCGCCGTTCTGTAGACCATGGTGAAGATTCAACAGGCAGTATATGTGAAGCCCTGGATACGCAGTGGTTCTTGGCACATGCTGAAATTGCTTATTTAAAAACTTCTCCATTGCACACAAAAGCAGACCAAAATATGATCCCCTCTGTACATACCCAGAACCATACATAGATCTGTATCACCTAGATTCAACAT